GGAAAGCGGCTCGAGGCCATGATGAAGGACGGGTGGTAGTTGGGAAACCCTTCGTCTCCTTACAACGCGTGTCCTCGGTGTCAGAAGATCGAAGGCTGGGGGCAGTTGATGGGACTTTTCTGAAATACCCTATGATGAAGACACGTGTCCTCGGTCAGATACGTACCTCAGTCGGCATAACTCCCTCGGTCCCCGAGATCGGCCTTTCCTCGGTGCCGAGAGGTACCCATCCTGGACGCTTCCTCTATTCCAGGATAAGCTATTGACGTGCAGGTCATTAGCCTAGGCTAGTCTAGGCTATTCATCATGACCTCGTCTTACACAAGTAATGTCAGAACATACTGGAATACAGAGGTCACAGCCAATAGAGGATGGACGCGTGGCATATGATATCACATCAGAAACAGACAAACCGCATGCCGTTGCTGACACGCGATTTGGGAAAGCAAACAATTAATTGCACCATTCCCTTGATGAGACCGCATTCAATGCGGTAAGGCTCGAAAATGAAAGGCAATAAATGCTCCTATTACAGAGCATTTATTGCATCCTCCCTGAGAGGAGCACACTGTACCGTCAGCATCCCGACGATCCAGCATTGATTGCTCGAGACCCCGAGCAGTTAATTAGAGAAGACATTCCTCATCAGAATCAATGCACACGCTACCTGAGCCTAATGATCACCTACTGACGACACTGACAGCAATCATGAGCTTTTAAGGTATAAATACTCCTTGCAAAAGGCAAAGCGGGTATGCAACAACAAACTCTCTACTACAATACACTCAGTGTTTTCTCTATCCTCTCTCTCTCTCTCAAAGACTGACTAGATCGTCGGAGGGGATACGCCGAAAAACACTCCGGCACCCTTCTAACTTGTTCTTCTTTGTTCCAGGAACCTCTTCCAGCCTTACAGGACCGTCACTCCTTTCCCAGGGTCTCCCGTTGCCGTTCCAGGTTACCACCACACTGTGCAGGCTGTCCCAAGCAGCGTGTTTGGTCACTCCACCAGCTCACCCGAGTTCACCAGGGAAGAGATCTGTTCAACTTTTTTATATTGTGCAGGATCTTGCACGCACAAACCCATATTTAAGACAGTCTTGTATATCGCTTTATGTATATTAATCAAACGTCATCCACCGTTTTCCTAATGATCCTTCTTACAAATCATCTTGGGCAGCACCTAGTATAGTTCGGCATAGAGACAATGTGACCCCTTAAAATCCGGGGGTCCTTTATTAGCCGTTGATCACTCATCAACCCGTGAAAATATCCGTGAATGTCGCATAACCCGACATCACGTTTATAACATTTCCTATAAGCGGAATTACAACCCACACGAGGATCGTGTTTTCTTTAATCATATAATCCCATCTAGATTTAATATACCTCAATGTATCTCATTTAAGGTTCATTTGTGTCATTAGAACCAAAAAAACACAGCCCAAAAGCATGGAAATGAATTTTTAAACTTTCAGATTTTTGGAAAGCCTTCCGAAAGGTTTTGTTTACTGAAAAAGTTCCTTCAGAGATTTTTCGTCCACCTTCCGGTAGGTCTTCATAACCTTCCGGAATATTTTACTTACTGGAATCCTATCTTGAAGAAAGATGTATCAACCTTCCGGAAGGTGTGTTCAAACTTTCCAGAAGAAGTTACACACTGGATTCCTTATTTTGTGAAGAATATGAAGACCTTCCGGAAGGTTAAAATCGACCTTCCGGAAGGTTTCACCTACTGTTCGACAATTTTCCTTGTTTGTCCAAACCTTCCGGAAGGTTTTACCCAGAATTTTCTGTTTCACCTATTTTTCATTTCCAATTCATTCCAAACTTTTCCACAAACATCTCAAACATGTAGAGTATTGTTTTTCACATAAGACTTGATACATACCGGTTCTATTGCAATTAATTTCATATGATTACAAGCTCATTTACACAATTACATGCTCAAAATGAAATTTTTACAAAAACTTGCTTTCAAAAGCCCACAAATCGGCTTTTCTTCATCGTTGAGGCCCCGAATGTGAGTCCTCCACCTGTACGAACCCCGCACCTGAAATGTTTCTCATATAGGGTGAGCCAACGCCCAGTAAAATGTTTCCTACAGAAGCTACTCTTCAACCTAAGTACATATACAATGTTCACATGCAACATTTAACCACAATAATCATTCCAACCAACACTTAAGCCAGTCAATGTTAAAATTCAACATACCATGCCATGAATTGAGATGATACTCATTCATGCAATTTACCCGAGTTCTTCTCGGCTCTACAACATATGCAAAGCTTATGTGTATAAGACTAAGTTTTTTTAGCTCCGACCATTTACCTTCCCCCATACTATGCCATGAGTGTCAAAATCGGGCTTTCCACGCCGCCGCCATTGGTGTTACACGCCCAATGACTACTTAAAACCTCCAAATTTTTCTTGGAGTGAGTATTTATGGACTTATACCAACGGTCACCAACCGACACGGAATTTATGGAATTCCACCAACGGTTTTGCGTACACGGACACATTTTATGGGCTCTTATACAAACAGAAGTGCGTATCCGAACACCGAACCTCTCACCTGAGGGATAGTCTAGCCCTTCTTGCTAACCCTGACCCAATTCTTTTTCATACAACCGTGCGACTCAGCCGAATATTCAATCCAACTATCTCGAGCCCACCCATCATTCACCTACGTGATGTTTGATGCCAACCATACACCCACACCCATAAAATACGATGTCTCTGTGCATATGCAATGTAATGTGTCATTGTTATCTCAATGTTATGCTCACATGTAATGAATGTCATATAAGCAACTTTAATCACATGTATACATATATTATGTAATTTATCACTAATTTCATCACAATGTTAATATATCAATGAACATATACCAACATTTCATTTCCAATAATAATTCACAAGCATGTTACTTCTTCATGTATAAACTAATAACACACTTTGTTCATAAAGCATAATTTAAGCACATAGCATGCCCACACAATATCAACTCCATGGGATTACACAAGTAATTACCAATCTCAAGCTAGGAATTTAATTTAAATTAGGTCAATTTTTCCTACCCAATTCATCAAATCAATCTATTCCATTAACTTCAATCCATAGGCAAGTGATATAAATCTCTACCCATTACATAAAACACTATAGGTTGTAAAATAAACCTGAGTAGTAAGGAATCATGCCTCTTGAAGCGTAAATAACACGTAGGGAAGCTCCAAGACTTCAACTCGAACTCTAATCTAAGTCTTCCCAAAATCTCATTTTTTCAACCTTCGACGAAAACCCTCGTTTTTGGTACGTACGCGTAGCCCTCGACGAGGAGACCAACTTTAACTCTTAGCCCGAGTAGATTTGAGCACTCAAACTTCCTAGATCGTAGAGATGTAGAGAACTCAAGCCCTTTCCCTCTCTTCTTTTCTCACATTGAAACTGGCTGAAGAATGAGAGAAAAATCTAATTTTTTCCCTATTTATACTCTTAAAATACTTGGTCCACAACGCACCACACGATCCTCTTTTCCCCGGATCCGTTTTCGTCCCGAAACAATTAAATTTCGTCCCGGTTCAAGTTCAAATTATTTTTATTTTAATTTGCTTGAAATTATGTTTCAATTTTAAAAATTTTATTAGAAATCCCATTTTTTGGTCTCCCAAGACTCGATCGCCTCGTAAAACACAAAAAATTCAATTATCTCAGAATTCGATAAAATTTGACTAGATAACTAGATTTCGTGAGACGAGTCCAATGATGAGATCCATTTCATCATCCGAAATCTAGAAAAATTCAGATTTTCAACCCGTTCTGTAATGACAAATTACCATTTTACCCTTATTTACAAAAGTTTAAATTTTCTCGGATTTTACAGGCAGTGCAATCCACTCGCACATGTAAACAATGTTACCCTGGCATGAGAGAGATTGTTCTTGCAATTTGAACCTATGTCTAGATCATAATAGAACACGTAACCACTACATCAAAACTTGTCTTATAGTTTTACATAAAGAGATAATCGGCACAAAACATTGACATGGTTTGCTGAGTTTGATCCAGTAGAGTAACAAGCGAGGCTTGGTGCTGTCAAGAGCATCTTAAATAAAGTTTGATAAAAGCATTTTGAAGGTTCTCACGATCCCCCAGAACAAGAAAACATACTAGACCTCAATCGATAAAGGAAATTTTTGGCACATATAACTATTCTATTGGTAATGTAATGGTAACGAAAAGCTTTCTCCTCAACAATCAGGGCTGCATGGTGATGATAATTAGTGAAGACATAAGATGCCAACAACCTGGGAACAGTCCACTTAACCCCCCACCACCACCCCAACCCCCAAACATGAAAGAAATAGTACTGTCAAACTAGTAATGTTTGATTTGAAAAGCGAGGCCAACGCTGTTGTGACATGCTGGTACAGTGCTGGCATGGGATCCAAGGATTGGTGCCTGGGTTTTTTTCACACGGTCAAACAAATAAAAAGCAAGGTTTAAAAAAAAAAAGATGATACCCCTCTTTCAGCGGGTAAATTTTATGAACCATAAAATAAATCTGCATTTATATTTTGACAATGCTACCAACCACTCTTTCGAATGCTGTCATCTGGTTTATGTATGTAATCATTGCTACCACTTTCAACAAATTTTTGCTTTCATTAACCGAGTCTTTAACGGCTTAACCCACATTAGCCATCAACAAGCAACAAGAAGTTCAACATGCAATCCTACTTCAGAACCATACATGATGCATTGTGCAGAAAAGAATGGATGATTTACTTCAGAATTAAATTCTTACTGTAGTTGTCAAGAAGAAAACAGATGATCTTACAGATTAAACTTAGATGGCAGCTGATACAGGGTCAAGATGGTAAGAACTAAGAAGATTTAGAGCATGCACAGCAAGCAGGAAGGCAGAAATCTAGCTTTGTGAGAGGATTCGTTGCAGTAGATATGAAATGTCAATGAAACAATTAGTAATTCAATTTTCTTTCACTTGATTCATATGTTTCTCATCATCCCTTGCATGTATTAGATTCATAAATCAATTTTCCTAAACAGTGCTTGTAATTTATTAGGGAGTAAAAGAATATACCCTAAAGCTCGCCATTCATGGTTCAAAAGTTGGAACTTGATCTACAGAAGCAGAAACTGCCCGATGTACAGTTCTATCAATGATACCTCTATAGGGATCCTCCTCACGCATTTTAATCAAATAAGCCATGTTGCTTTCAATCTCATATTTAATATGCAAATACAGCTCGTTTGCACTTTCTTTGTCCTTCAGCTCCTTTTCCCTTCCCTTTGTTTGTATAGGCTTTCCAAACAGATAGTAAAATCGTCCAGGTAACTTTGGCAGAAGGCCCGGAGGATAGAAATATTGGTTGGCGACCTCCCCACCCTTTTCTGCCCTATAACCACAGCATATTCCATGTCAATGAGTTAACTTACTGTCTCAATCATAACTACAAAAAGGCTTAAGGCATGTAGGAAAGCTTAGGGAGCAAGTACGAGAAACAAGTTAATCAAATAACGAATAAATACCTCAACCTCACAATCTCTTCATTACTTCTTCTTATGTAGTCATTAAGCACAGGGATTCTCATTATGTCGTTGTAATCAAGAACTAGCTGTTCATAAGAAGAAAAAACATCAACAAGTAGGTCATCCAGACACCAAAAAGGGTAACATAAATTTCAGATTCAGGCTTGGGCAAGAGGGAAAGAAGGGAAGGGGAGGAGAGTACATAAGGATAAATGATCATAAATCAAATAATGATCAACTTAAATTTCAAACAAAAACTTGGCGCAAGTTCCATTTTACACCCACGTGGTTTGGTCCCATAACCCTTCATTCCTATCACTCCAATATAACCACAACACTCGCATGAATTTGGACCAATCTATACAACTATCACCATTAACGAAACTAGTCAAAGGACCCATTTTCTTTCATCTTTTGATTACACCCATCTCTCTTTTTCTCTGCGCCTCTTCATCTCTATCACACACATGCATACCCACACGCACATGTATTCTCATGGCTAGTTCTCAACTTCTGACTACTGACATCATGTTCATGACCCTTTTGGCTGCAGTAGGTGCAGATAGACCTGCTGTGACAGTATGAAGCTTATGCAGCTGTTTACCATGATATGAATGGACAAGATACCCCGTGTTAGATTATTTTTCATTCCATTTTAGGTTCTTTATGGTGTATGCTATACTGTGATGCTTTGACAAATAGATAAAAGATTTGAAACATGGACTGCCTGTGGAACCAGGCAACTGGTTCTGCTAAAAATTAGTCCCAGAATCAATGCAACCACGGGAGTTTGGAAAATAATTTGCTAGAAGAAAAACAAGATGAGGAGGGTAGGAAATCGAAGGAGAGGGGCATTTCTGCTTTTTCAAGGCATTACGATGGACTTTTTGCCTTTTTAACATTCCAAGTTGGGTGGGAAACATATTTGAACAATACCAACTCACAAAATAGGCACATGTCACAATTCTCGTCAAATTTGGTTGAAATTGAAAGGTTGCATATTGGCAGGCCGGCCCTTAGGCTAAGCCATTAAAATGGTCGCCGTGGGACTTCAAATAAGTAGGGGCCCCAAATAAAACAGATGAAGGCCCAAAAAATATTGGAATAACAAGTAATTTGGCCCAAAAATAAGAAGACTGATCAACTAGTTGTGGAATTGGCAGTAATCTGACCCACAAAGAAATTATGGAAAAGGCCCAAAAAATATCAAACCCACACAACTAAAACTGTAAAATAGGCCTGAAACAACTGGATCATCTCTTTCTTTATATCTCTTCATGAATGCCTTATTCTCATCTTACGATGCCTGTCGACAGCTTAAAGTGTCGCATCAAGACCAATAAAAAGATCACATCCACACAATGGAAAAGCCCTAGAACTCTACGGCTGCCAGCTCACTACCTCTCTCATTAATGCAATGCTGATGTTGTCAAAGCTGCCAACAACTGTACCCAAATAAAAACATATCATATGTACACAAATAAGAAGAATTCCTAAAGCTCTACTGTTCTCTCTCTCTCTCCATATATGCATACTGTATTTTCAGATTTTTTTTTGGCTTACCATAGGCAAATGTTGACACATCGGTGAAATTATTAAATTCTTTCATTGATTGATAGTTTGCTTATTTTATATTTTGATTCATACGATTTAATCTAATTCAAATTTTTTTTCATTAGGGAAGGTTATTGCTATTATAGGTGATTTGGAAGATGAACAAAACTTAGAAAATATCTCTTATTTATAATATGCTATTGTTCTTGAGCTTTGTAATGCAATTGATTTTTATGGAAGTATAACCATTTATTGATTTAAATTTTCTAATTTAGTAAATATTCTAATCTTGAATATATCCACCAGAAAGTATGACACTATTTATGAAAAACGTTCAACAATAGAAAAATAGATCAATTAGTTCAATCTCAAGAATGAGCCCATTAAATACTTTATCAACAAGAAAAATATGATAGCAACTTCAAGCGAAGGTTTCATAATTGTACAATCAATCCTTTAAACAGAATCTTAAAAATGAAATAGTTGCACAAAAATATAACAACAAGAATAAAAAATTTTAGAACAAAGCCAAACAAATAAAGAAGATGAACATCATGGGAATGGAATGAAATTGATATGTATTAGCAGATTTATGAACAAAAAGAGGTCCAATTAGAGATTATTGGTTAATTATTCCGAAAAATGGAGGAAAGCCTTTGGTATATTATGTGATAGAAGGATACCAACAAGGATACCAACAATTTTCGTCCTATCATTTGCAAGTTGGGTATGAGAGACATTTACACCAACTTAAAGGGGAGTGTTATGTTATGTTATTTAGAATGTAACCCTTAAGGGTATTTTTGATACTTTAATGTTGATATATATATTGGGATGTAGCTGTGTAACTTAACACACTACTATCTTCTCTTATTTTTCTTCTTCTTTCTCACTCTCTTCTGTAAAACCCTAATGGACCTAAAATTTAATTGGCACTAAACTTTGACTAGGGAGAGTATCTTCCTCGAGGTGCAAGTCCCCCAACAGGTTGGATCGTATGTTCGTATTGACCTCGAGTGATCTATTAGGATGTTGCCCACCGATGTAACACTGTACTGGAAGTTTCTAAACTCTTTGGTATTCAACTTTACTTAGATGATATTGTTTTACACAAAATGATGCTTTCACTTGTATATGTGTATCAAATGCTCATTTTGCTTTTACCCAATCATGCCAAACTATATATTTTTAAACTCGTTTACTTGGAAATTGAGTTATTCTACTGAATTGTTGATACTCATCCTAAATTATTTTTTCCTTTTCAGATATGTGAAAGCGGGAAGATCTGTACATAGAGTACTGCCTGATTTTTTATGCAATTTAGGAGATGTATCAGTTAGAGTAGTTAGCATATTTAGACTTAGGGGTAGCTTAGTCATTTGTTTTCTTTTATGTTGTCCCACTATATAAAGACCTGTATTTTTCTATTATGTTGTTCTGGCTAATTGTACCTCAATAATATTTTCTTCTTTCTCTTATCTTCTCTATAATTGATCAAATTTATCATGGTATCAGAGCATGTTCCGATCTTAAACATAGATTGCACAACAATGACATTCATCAAATTTAGGGCTGAAATCTGGGTTAGATTTCATTGATTTTTCTGGTGCAAATCCCTTGGACAAGGTGTGAATCAGGCCTCTTTGTGTTTGGGCAAGAGATTCGAAGGATTTTGAAACAATTTGGGGTTGGTTTGCTGCACTGAGGAGATCCTGTTTTGTTGTTGTTGGTTCTAATCTTGCTCGACTCTCGTCGCTGGTTCCCCTTCTTGTCTCCTTGGCTTGCTAGTTTCTCTTCTTTTGTTGGTTTGGCTGAGTACCCTATGCACCAGGGCTCCGTTTGCTGAATGTTCCTGATTTTGGTTGGCTGTTTTTTGCTGCTTCTGGCTTCTGGTTCTGGTGACGTTAGCTGTTGTTCTGGTTTGTGAACTCCTTCGACTTGCACAGTGGTGTTGTGATCCCCTTTGGCGCAAAGATTCGAAGGATTTTGAAACAATTTGTGTTGAAATCTCGGCTCTTCTTCTCTCGGCTGGGTTGTTCGCTGCACAGGAGCATCATCTTGCTCCCTGTGTTCAAGTGTTGTGTTCAGCGTTGTACAGATTCTGGTGTTGTTTTAGATCTGAGTTGCTGGTTTGCTTCTCCTGTGGTTGAACGTGATTCATTAGCTTGTAGTTGCTGAGTTGTTGGTTTTTCTACCTCTTGGCTATTGGGTGGTCGCATAAGCTTCTCTACCTACTGGGTGGTCGCAGAATCTGCTAGGTGGAAATTATTTGTTTTGGGCTTAGGGTCATTGGTTAGACAGGCTGGTGTTCAAATTTGAGCTATTTCGGCTACTGGCTGTTTGCTTTGGGCTTTTGGGCTCACTTCTAGATTTGGTCTTGGCTATTATTCACGTGTGGGTTGAAATTTTGTTAGAATAAGCCTAAAAAGCTTTGCTTTAGGCTCTTTTGCTCTTTTGGGTCATTATTTGGTTTGGGCTAGCTGATTTTGTATTGAATTTGGACTGCCAACAAGTATTTTTGATACATTTGTGTTGGGCTTGTTGTTTTGTGCTGGATTTGGACACTTTTCAATTAGAATATGGCAAACGGTGATTTCGGTTCTCTTCAGGCCACTTTTGAGACATCAACTCCTAGTATGACTACAATTAATGATCAGTTGCAAAAACTTCTCTCACTCTGGCAACCTAATGATCTCTCAGTCTCCTCTTCAGTAAGTTCATTTACTTTGGGCCCTTTAGATATACCTCGAACTGCTTGGGTTTTCGACTCAGGGGCTACACATCATATGACCAGTGACTCTTCCTTGTTTGTATCAACTTTCTCTTCTCCATCTGTATCTATACTTGCAGCAAATGGCCGCCAAATGTCTTTGGCTGGTTTCGAGACTATTATTTCTCCTTACCTTACACTTTTAGATGTCTATTATACCCCTCAGCTTACTTTGAATTTGATTTCAGTCAGTCAGTTATTTGATTCTGAATTTTAGTTCAATTTTCTTCTTCTAGTTGTGTTGTGCAGGATCCACATTCTAAGAAACTGATTGAGACAGGTAGTAGAAAGGGAGGACTGTATGTATTGGACGAGCTACATGTTCCAAATATTGCAGCTTCTACCATTGATCTGTCATTTTTTCATTTGAGTCCACAGTCTTCTAGTTTTTACTTATGACATTCTCGTATGGGTCATGTTTCTCATTCTCGTTTGAAATATTTAGCCTCCACTGGTATTTTGGGTAATTTAGAGTGTCATGACATTTCTAGTTGTAGTGGATGCAAGTTAGCTAAATTTAATGCATTACCTTTTACTAAAAGTCTTACTAGCTCTCTTGCACCGTTTGACCTTGTTCATTATGATATTTGGGGGTCTGCTCCTATTCCCACAAAAAGAGGGTCTAGATATTATGTATCATTTATTGATGATTATACCAGATATTGTTAAGTATATCTCATGAAGCATCGTTCTGAATTCTTTTCTGTATTCACTGCTTTTCGTACTATGATACGTACTCAATATTCATCTGTTATTTGGATGCACTATTTGAAAAACTATGTGGTAAGCCACCTAATTATTTCTTTGCGTGTAATTAGATGCACCTATTTTGTGTTGCTTCCTAGTAATCTTCGCACTAAGCTCTCTGCTCGTTCAGTTTTATGTGTTTTTCTTGGTTATAGTGAGAGTCAAAAAGGGTATCATTGTTATGATCCTGTTTCACACAAACTCTGTCTCTCGTCATACAGTTTTATGGAGCATATTCCCTTCTTTTCTATTCTATCTAGTTTTGCACATTTGCATAAATCTGATCTCATTTACATTGACCCATTTCCAACTGATATTCCTTCTGACACTTATGTTGGTGATATGATTTTTTGATATACCTTCCTCTTATGAGTTGCCCATCAGTCATCCCCTTATTGTGCATACATATGTTTACAGGACTCTGGCTATCGCCTCTATAGATACGGTGCATTCTCACTCTCCTCCTGCCACCTAATCAGGTTCAAACATTGTGGATCATACTCTACGCTATCCTCAGCACTCTCACAAATGTCTAGACAGGTTTGGTTAGAGTAACACTTGTTATTCTCCTGAATTTTGTTCTTTCCTTACTTCTATTCACTCCCTAAATGAACCCACCTCCTACAAGGAGGCTTTTCTTGATCTACTTTGGAAACAGGCTATGGATGAGGAGTTGTCTGCCCTAAATTAGTGTCTTTACCGCCTGATAAACGCACCATTGATTGTAAGTGAGTTTATAAGATAAAAACCAAGTCTAATAGTTCTGTGGAACGGTATAAAGCTCAATTAGTAGCCAAAGATTTTGCTCAGGAGTATGGGATAGACTATGATGAAACTTTTGCCCTTGTTGCAAAGATGACCACCGTTCGCACAATGATTGCAATTACTGTCATTCGTCAATGGAATTTGTCTCAAATGAATGTGAAAAATGCATTTCTTCATGGAGATTTAAGTGAAGAAGTTTTTATGACTCCTCCTCCTGGATTGTCTCATAATCCTGGTCAAGTATATTGATTGCACCGAGCTTTATATGGCCTTAAATAGGCTCCTAGGACATGGTTTGCCAAATTTTCTTCGGTTATTTGTTACTTGGATTTTTATGCCAATGCCCATGATTCTGCTCTCTTTTTACGGTCGACTTCCTCAGATTCTATTATTCTCTTACTATATGTTGATGATATAATTATTATGGGTGATGATACTACTGGCATATGCTTATTGAAAACCCAGTTGCAAGACTATTTTGAGATTAAAGATTTGGGACAACTTAGATATTTCTTGGGTATTGAGATCGCTTCCTCTCCAAGTATGCTTCAGATGTTATTCAACGAGCTCGTTTATCTGATAATCGGACAATGTTCGTTACTCTTCTTCTGATGATACTCCCCTGTCTGACCCTACGCTCTATCGCGCTATTGTTAGGAGTTTAGCATATTTTACAGTCACTCGTCCGGATATCTCCTATGTTGTTCATATTGTTAGTCAATTTGTTGCCTCACCCACCACAGTTCACTGGGCTGTGATTCTTCGTATTCTTCGGTATCTTCGAGGTACTCTGTACCAGAGTTTGTTATTCTCCTTCTCCTCCTCCTCCTCTATGAAACTCAAGGCTTATTTTAAGGCTGACTGGGCTGATAACTCTATGGACCGTAAGTCCACTACAGACTTTTGCTTTTTCTTCTGTGATTTTCTTATTTCTTGAAAAATTAAGAAGCAAACTATTGTTTCTCGTTCATCTGTTGAAGCTAAATATCGTGCTATGACAACTACTGTAGCTGAGATAGTTTAGTTACGATGACTTCTTACTGATCTTGGCATCATGTTATCTGCATCAACTCCTATGTATTGTGACAACACTAGTGCTATTCAGATTGCTCATAACTCAGTCTTTCATGAGCGCACAAAGCATATTGAAATTGATTGTCACTTTTTGCGTCATCATCTTCAGTTGAGCACTATCTCCCTTCCTTTTCTTTCTCCTACTATGCAGTTAGCAGATTTCTTCACAAAGTCGCATACTATTACTCGCTTTCGTTTTTTTCTTGGCAAACACTTAATATTTTCTACTACCACATCATGAGTTTGAGGGGGGGTGTTAGAGTAGTTAGCAGATTTAGACTTAGAGGTAGCTTAGTCATTTGTTTTCTTTTATGTTGCCCTACTATATAAAGACCAGTATTTTTCTATTATGTTGTTTTGGCTAATTGTGCCTCAATAATATTTTCTTCTTTTTTCTCTTATCTTCTCTATAATTGATCAAATTTATCAGTATCTACATGTTAATGGAATAAATGTAATTTTGATATGAGTGGTTTGTATCTATGTAACAAAACATGTATAGTTTGACTATAATGCATGTAGCCATGTACCATATTTGTGTTTATACAATTAGTTTGTTTGATGTGGGTTGGTTTACAATGTTAGGCTAGTTTTTTTTTTTTTTTATTAGAGGATAACTGCAACACTTACACTTAAAAAGTGTAAGGTTGCAGCATCCATATAATGTTACGCTAGTTCATGTTAACACTTTTACATGCTTTTTTTTTTTTTTATTAGAGGATAACTGCAACACTTACACTTAAAAAGTGTAAGGTTGCAGCATCCATATAATGTTACGCTAGTTCATGTTAACACTTTTACATGCTTCAGTAGGTTAAGATAACACACATTGCATCCTTGGGTAATCAGGGGTGCAATAGATAATGTCATCAACATACAAAATAAGAATAATCCTAGTGGAAGAACGACGAATAAAAATTAAATGGCCTGAAGTAGAATGTTAAAAACAATAATGAAGAACAACAGTACTAAACTTATGAAACCAAGTACGTGGTGATTGTTTTACACCATATAGTGCTTTCTTCGGAGAACACATTAATAGTTCCTTACCAAATACAACATAACATATCAAGTACATACATCAAAAAGTTTTTAATTTAGATCGACAGGAACATCAACTAGTCTGCCACCTTGCCAACGCTTTTTCTAACATATCAAGTATATTTTCTCTTACACAGCCAATGCCCTACTTACACCTGGTGACCTCGATACCCAAAAAGTACCTAAGTCAGCCCAAGTCTTTAATATGAAATCGATGCTGTAGAAAAACCTTTAACTTTGCAATACCCTCATAGTCATCACTAGTAATAACAATGTCATCCACAT